TAAGGGGTAACTTATCAAAGTAGAGCCCTATGGGCGTAAATTTCGTCCGTTTGGCTCTATCATTAACCGTTTAGGCGCCACATGGAGTTTTTGACGAAAATAAGCGAAAATGTACAACCCTGCATGTATAGTAGAAGTGACGGGAAGCTGACGGGCCGACTCGGGTGTCAGCGCCGCAGGCCTAGGTAGATGTATGCCAGGCGCGTCGCAGCGCAACAGTGTTTCGTGAGATATCGCGAAGCCTGTTACGCGAGACGTGGTCTGGCGTACATCTACCTAGTTTAGAGGACTTGTTAATTCTTCTAAATGACGAAGATGATGTTTCTGCAATTATTCAGCAACGTCTTAATGTCCTCGCCATGTTTCTGGATCACTTCAGAGGTATGAACTCTTTGTCCACATTCAATTAGGTTGTTTGTTAATTAAATTTAAATGCTGTTTAATGTCACAGAATATCCTGCTTGGGAGAACGTCCCACTTGATGTTGCAGGATGGTTAAATATGCAAGACCCGACATTTGCCATGCATTTCAGAATGTGTGGAGGAACATTTGATGTATGTCTTTATCCCGCCCTTCTGCCTTCAAAAAGCAAATTGCAAGATGAGGTATGACAGGTGTGCCCTCTGATCAGAAATTTTTGTTTGGCATTTACAGAATCTAGTGGCTTCTATTTATAATAATCTGAACCGGAGGCGATTACTTCATAGGATTAGAACAAATTTGAATATCTGTGTCATGGCAGCTCTCTGGATTCTACTGAACATGGATACATTTAAAAATACTGCACATCACCAGTAGTGCTGTATCATTACTTGTACATCATTGAAGCTAAATCAAATACAAAGGGAAAAACGAGCAGATCTGTTACAGAAGTGTGAAGTATCTACTACTTTAAATATTTCAAATGTACAAACCATTGCTTGCTTCTTCACAAGTTATTACATCCCCATCATATGCGGAAAAATTCATGGCATCATAGACAGCCTATGCAATTGTAATATTTCGGAACTGAAAAAAAGAAAAGAAGTATGAATACAATATGACAAGGCATTACTTTACACTACAGTAGTACAGAAGAATACCTTTAAAATTAGGAATAATGGACCTTTGTCCAGAACTTCTATATCTTGCCGAGTGCAGGTGGGAACTTGGCGCAAGATCGTCCTCATAAAGTGCCCCTGAAAACAAAATTAAATAAGTGTATACCAAAAATACTGAAATAAATGTAGTATTATTATTTTTTTAAACTACTCTACCTCTAAGTACTCGGCTGGCAAATTAAATTGAATGGTAGTGTCTATCCCAGTGAAAAAAAAAAAGGATTACAAGGAAATATTTAATAACTCTAGCTGTCAGAAAACAGAAATTCAAGAAATTAGAGTTTGAAATTGATGTAATTACTCACACGAGCAGGACGCAGAAGACTTGACAGGAGTAACAATTGGGTTGACACTACCTGTGGGCACTAATTTAAAACCTTCAAAAGTGAGCAGGGACATTACAATTTCCCATATCAGAGTTTGAAATTGATGTAATTACTCACACGAGCAGGATGCAGAAGACTTCACAGGCGGAACAATTGGGTTAACACCACCTGTGGGCACTAATTTAAAACCTTCAAAAGTGAGCAGGGACATTACAATTTCCCATATCAGAGTTTGAAATTGATGTAATTACTCACACGATCAGGATGCAGCAGACTTCACAGGCGGAACACTTGGTTTGACACCACCTGTGGGCACTGGAGAGGCGACAGCTGTTGCTGCTTCTGTTGTGCTCACTGCGGGGACAGAAGTTTTAATTAAAACAAGTATTCAAGCAATTTTGAGGCATTTTAAAGTAAGCGATTGTATTAGGTTATTCAAACAATACTTTTGACAGGAACACTTGAAGGAGTGACTTTTTGAGGGTATTTCTTTTCCCATCATTATACTTAAATCCTTTGATTGGAACTTTGCCAGCACGAAACGCGTAGCAAAGTCTAGTATTTCGGATCTGAAAAATTAAAAAGATGTGAAGAAGCATGCATCCTATAACCTCATACTGGTATACTTCTTAGGTGTTTGAAGACTGACCTGATTTAGTCTATGGATGCTGGCGAAAGTGACATGGCATACACAGCACCATTCTTAGCTGTAATGTGTACAACTGGCATTTCCTACATTTATGTACTTACAAAACAGACAAAAAATAACTCGGCTAAAGATGGCTTATGTCACGGCACGGGAAACTCACGATCGTATAACTTCGCGCGCCACGGCCTTGCTCCTTACTCTTTCAGTTTGGCACCTTATGTGTGTGTTTTGGGAGGCAGTGGGTCTCAGGGCTGCTCAGGGCCGGTCAGGGCTGCTCACGGCTGGTCAGGGCCAGTCAGGGCCGGTCAGCACCCCTCTAACTGGACGCAAGCTGCGCCGCAGGAGGCACCCTTCGCGAGACTACATTGCCAGCTTTCGCGCCATTTCGGCCATCAAAACTTTTGCGACTTATAGAACATCTAACTGTAATAGCGCACTGTATACGGATCACATTTACAAATGCATTTAAGTGTGTACAAAATCATGTCAAATTGTGTTAGGACTACATACGTTATCGTTTATTGAAAATATTGTCAGAATGTATAAAATATACAGCTGTAGCCTGTAGTTAGACCAGTTTAAATGCAGATTTCTATACTCTTTCTGCAGTTAAGTCGCAGTTTTACTTCAGAAAATCTGTAGTTGGTTTGGAATCCGCACAGTTTAACTGCAGTTTGGGCGGTTAGTTTCGAACTGCACCCCAGACAAGAGTTGCAAAGTACAAACAAAACCTACAGTTGGTATCATACTTAAAGTGCAGTGTTCAAAACTTCGTTTAAATTTTTTTCCCAGGAATTTCTTTCTTCTACTACCACCCTTCTACCTTCCCCCACTTACCTTCTTTCATCCGATTAATTGATTGCAGAACTCTTACCTTGATGAAACTTGATGAAGTTGATGGGAGTTGAACCTCGGACCTCGGAGTTGGCAGTACGATGGCCACTTTTTTTTCTTTTTTTTTCAAAACATCTTTATTTAACAAATTTTTGTACAGCTGTGGCTGTGCCAATAAAATATTTGGTTAATAACAATAAAATCAACAATTGTAATAAAAAATAGTAAAAGGTAAATAATTTGAAGGATTTCTTCATTCGGTGGAATAGTGCATTGCAATGTAATTTAGCAAAATAACAATTTAGCAACGGGGCACCCAACCAACGGGGCGCGAGACTGTGTGTCCGCATCACTGTTAGTGCCCCTCCACGCCTGTGGGGCGTCCCACGTGCCTCGCGGGAGAGCAAGGGGGAGAGGCACAGAGGCAGAGAGGGGGGAGGGGGAGTACAAGAGGGAGAAATGGAGAGAGGGGGGAGGGACGTAAAAAAGCGAGTGACAATGACTTGTTTAACGGCTCGAGAATGAGTCGGTCATGAGGGCTGTTTATCGCCCTCTCAGAGAGAAAAGGAAGGGAAGGGAG